ATTTTTCATAAACTTTTATTATGGATTGGATTTAACCCCACACAGCCAATGTATTTATTTGTCTTTAATTTTATTCCGAGTGAATAATTTGGGAATTTTACAGCTAATACTTCCAAATACGTTGAATTCTATTAAATTTTTTTTCATACCAAAGGTTATATTACACAATGTTCATGTTGAACACTTTCGGGGCTTACTCCGAAACTGTAACACACTGTACGTCGTTGCTTAAAACCTCTTTCGATTTACTTTAAAATAGTCAAAACATTCAATTAAACCTTGCCTTACTTTTAGTATACAGTTAGAGATATTTTTATAGTTTTCGGATACATTAGTCAGATATTTACTTCCGAAATCGTTACAAAATATAATACATGGTTAAAAATTTCTTACCATTAGTTAAATTGTTTTTTTTTATTTATTCGGAGTATTTTTCGGACTAGCCTCGAAAAATTAAAAATTTGTAATTTATTTCATAAAATGTATTTTAAGAGCAATAACTAATAAATAACTGTGACACTGTGACATATAAAATTCCATCTGCCATCACACCAAAAGCGTTCACTTAAATTTTACAAAATGGGCCTAGCCATCAGTAGATAACTACTAGTTTTTGAATTCAGAGAATTGTTTTCAGTAAATCAAGATTAACGAATTTCCATACATATAAGTACATATGTACATTATAACTGCTACAGTTAGAAGGAACATCTCAAAATCTGTGTTTATAATTACTGCAGCTCCCTTACACTATTATATTTAGTGCTAAGCTATGAAAAGAAAAAAAAATACTCATATTCCATTCCTTTCCGCCTGCATCGTTTGTCTTCTTTCTGTTCATAAATGAAACTGAATCCTAATTGCTGTTTATATAAGAAATAAATCCCATTTCAAATTCCCTTAGTAAAAGGTCAACAATATATAATCTATAATATGCATTATGAATACAGAATTGAAAATAAATGAGTAATGACACAAGTAGTTTGAAAACAAAAAGAGAAGTATTTCGTTGAACTGAATTTGGAAGAAGGCGACGCCCACGCTAAGCACATTTCCTAGGAAGAAATCAACTATTTGGTGAGGAGGAGGTGGCTGACAATGGATGTATGTAAGCACGTTTTTGTACATGGGTGGGTAGCCGCTTGAAGCACCAATCAGATTTCAATTCAATGATGATCACATTAAATAATTTATTTTAGAATGACATCATGTGTTCATGTTTGCTTACGATTACAATTGAAGCATGAACCATTACACTGCTAATTTAATAGTATTAGCTTATGTGTGCGTATGTCACCCTTCAAAATGAAAATAAAATATAATTACTGAAAATAGCAAAGCCATGAAATTGATGACAATAAATAGCAGCAGTAGGCAGCCGAAGCAAAGATTTCATTGTCATTTAAGTGCGCGAAGCCATAAGCACAAAAGAAGACTTAGGCGGGGAGTCTTAATTGGGGCTTAAAATTATTTGTGTGCAAACTTAGGAATGCTTGTAAACAGTGGAATAGAAAAAACCTGCAATTTTTATTTGAATGAATTTTGAAGAGATGTAAAAAATGATTTGTTTTAGGACAAAAGCTGAGACWTCTGGGGGTGATTATAAAAAAAGAATCAATTTGGGAAATAACGAACACCTTAATGTATATATTCCGGAACGGTACAGTTGCCGCACTCAATGACATCATTGTGAGTCGCTGATTTGAAAATAATTTGAAGATATTTTCTCTTTCGAAAAATAAACAGTAATTAAACATAGTTTATACTATATGTATATATGAGGGTAGATACCAAAATATAAATATATTTACTTTAATAGTGCAGGCATTAATTGAAGTAGATATTATGTTTCTCACAACTCACATCACATCACAGCTTATAATTCGAAGAAGTTTTCTATTTTTGCGGACAAAGAGTGTTACAATGGCTATAATGCTAATGAGCATTACAAAAAATATTAACAATAAAAAATGAAAATACTGCATCGAATGAAGGCGGTGTTGATTTCTGTTTATTTCACCACAATATAAAAGATGGAAACAATTGCAACATAAATACCGAGAACGACATGAATTCACAACATTCCAGTTAGTCAAAAATCAAAACAATAAACATTATGAAATATGAGTAGGTACGTGTGTAGTTTTAGTCGTACAGGGAAATTGAAAAATCGTCACTTCTTCATTAATGCGCTTATATTTATGCCAACATAGTATTGTACTTTCAGGCAGACATGTTTATTTTGATGAATTTTTATATTTATACAATATAAGTAAGCCTAATTTGTATAATAAGGTCAGTCGAAAGGATGATCGGCGATTGAAATTTAAGTACGCTCTGTCCAATCCACAAAGAAAGGAGACCCCGCAATCTACGCCAACTACCGTGGGATAAGTCTCCTAAATATCGCATATTGTGTGAAGATCAAAGCCTACCGTCAAAAAAACTGTTTGGACCTTATCAGTACGGCTTTTGGCCGGGCAAATCAACAACTGGCTAGATATTCACCATGCCTAAATCCTTGAAAAGACCCCTGAAAAGGGGATCGATCTGCTTTTGACGGAAGGAAAAATTTGCCTTGCCGCGATGTCTAAATTTTATTGTCCCAGCAAAACAAATATCAAAATCTCTTTCAGAATCGGGAAGGACCTCTCCGAGCCGTCCGATACCTAACGAGGTTTCAGGCAAGGCTATCCACTATCGTTCGACTTTTTAATCTACTGCTAGAGAAAATAATACGAGCCGCAGAGCTTAATCGATCAGATACAATCTTCTATAAGAGTGTGTAGCTGCTGGCGCTGATGACATTGATATCATTGGCTTCAGTAGGACTCCTTTGTCATCACATTTCATAAAATGGGATCTTATTTTGATAGAGATAGCTCTTTCGGTACGAAATTAATGGAGAACTGTTCTTACAAAACGAGTTGTTCTGAAGTCTTACCTTGTGTCGTAATGCAAGTAGAGGTACTTTTTTGACAGAAGACGTGCGAGTCATGTTATTTTTGTTGAATATTGTGAAAATTCGCATTCTATTCTATTCGCAGCACCATCGCCTATCTTGGATAATATTCGACCGAATACATAGAGCAGGTGCAGTACGCAGCCGTAACTGAGAGTGTACATGAAGGCTGTGGAGGGTCGATTCGGCGGTTTACGCAGCGATTCGTATTGATGTAGAGAACGACTTGTCGCATTTTTCCTCGAGATCTTAAATTGAAAGCGTACAAAATACAGCTCATGCGAAAACTGAAACCGCTCGGCCATGCCAAACGACATTGCTTCACTCTAAGGGCTCTTGAGAAGTTCCATGAAGATCCGACGTTTTCGAGCCAAACTTTGTTCAGCGATGAGCCCCATTTTGGCTCAATAATGCGCAAACAAGGAAAATTGCCATATTTGCTGCCATTTCCTCTAGAGGAAAAGATTCCTTCAAACTTGATAAATTGAACTAAATGGATATACTGTCTAACACCTAGCCGCGGGCAACATTCGAAAAAGATAATCTTCTAAAACAAATGTTCTTTCGGATGATAATAAGCATTACACAAAAGTAGCGAACCTTTTGCTTTATGACCGGCCGACGCAAGACCAAAACTGTTTATAAAATTGTTGCATTTATAAATTTCAGTATGTATRTATCTGGATGTATACAACAAGAATGTGTGTGTGCGCGCGCATTTATTTACRGGCTAAATGCTAATGGCTATGATGATTCGGCCAAATGTCATAAATATACGCGTCGGATGGAACGCTAACGTATTGCTTACTTGTTCATTTTATTTATTCAAATCACAGCGCAGACGATACGCTGCATTTCTCTTCATAAATCCTTTTTAGTTGTGAAATAAACTGCGTACTTTTTAGCATTGTTGTTATTGTTAAGCATTATTGTAATACGAGTATATCGTCAATTGAAATGCAAAATAACGTATCATCAAAAAATTCGAAATTGAGTGWSTTATTGATTACGTTTCACTACTTCAAATTACATACATAATATTAAATATGTGCAACATTTTCAGGTTCTGCGCTCATGGTTTGAATCAATATTTTTCACTCATGTTCCATTTTATTTCATGTTCCATTCATGCCACTGTAAATTTCCGAAAATGTTGTTACGTTATTTTGCATTTCAAGTGACGATATAATATATTGTATGCCTTTATGAAATTATTAAAATTGTTTGCAAATGTTTATGCTCCAAAAAAACGTCAGCAACACGAAATTAGCATAATTATTTGAATTTGCATAGCGTGTGCGTCCATTGAATAATTTTTTGTATGGATTTTTTGTTTTTGTTTTTGTATCTGCTGTTTTTATGCGAATCTTGCATTATGAACTTTGAGGCGGGCGTAACGGCGTGCTGCTACAGTGCTCGCGAATATACCGAAAAGGAAGTCATAATTTTACGTTTCGTTGGCATTGACTGAATTGGTTTATTTTGTATGAAACGCCAAAAAACAACAAAAACAATAAAATTAAAAATCTGACAGTGTTCTAGACGCTCTTTGCCCCACTTTTACTTCACATATATGGTGTATTTGTATGTACATTTAGAATTTTTGGCGGCACACGCAGTAGGGCTGATGTGAATTCTAAAACCATGTTGGATTTTAAGAAGGACATTGTTATAAAGAGAAATAATGATTGATAAATAAAATAATTGTCGAAAAGATAGAGTAGTGTTTTTTAACAAAAATATGTAAATATTTTCAAATGTTTTGTATGTCGAAAAATTTTCTAAATGCAACTATTCACCGGATATCGAGAGAAAATATTTTTAAAACTAATTAAATTTCAAAGAATATTAAACTTTTCTAAAGTTTGATAATTAAATATATATTTATTTAAAAAAATAACTTCGAATTTGAAATCCGAAACTTTGATTTTATATTTTAGCTTAGAATCCCTTATCGGTATTTAAATGTAATATAAAAGTGTAGTTTTCGTATACTATTGTATATACTATTATTTTTRATATTTCAATTTGCACTTACTTTGAAATGGATTCGCTGTAGATTCCAGTATGCCGCACAAGCTGTTGGTGTGATGATGCAACAGACGTTCAAATTCGCCGGTGGACTTCTTTCTCAGCTCCAATTCGGTTGCATTCTTGCAGCAGTGACCGTCACAAATGGCAACTGAAAGAGTAGACGAAGATAATAAATATTTAAGATGGAATTATTTATCTTTAAGAATATCGCGTGTAATAAATATGCATAGTTAGTATATCTTTGCATTGGAATATAAACCACTTTAGTGCAAACACGAGTACACTCCTCCGCGTTGGCAAATCATCTTAATAGGATGACCTTGTCTTCATACGATGGAAAAGAAAGTTACTCTTCAACTGAAGGTATCTATCGCCAAATTTTTTTTTTTTTTTTTGAGTTAAATCAATTTCCTAAATCCCGTCAAATTATAATTTATAGAAGTTTAACCAAATTTAGAGAACTTCAAATCTTTTCAGATTTTAGAAGTACATTTCACGGTCAGAACACGTGAGATTTCTTAATTTTACCCTAGACATAATTTTAGTCTTTGACCCAAGCCTGCACTTATACCCAAAGTTAGTTTAAAAGTTTTCATATAATTTCGAACTTATTTCAGAGAGATGACAAGCTTACTAAAACGTATCATATGTCATCATGAATAAATTTTGAGTGAGTTATAAACGAATAATAGTTTAAACAATATGTGGACCCAGTATAATAACTCTGAGAYACACGCAGCTTTTCGCACCTCACAATTTTTCACAGTAAATGGTGAATAGCGTAGAAATTTCGTTATTTCAACAGGAAAAAGCAGAATATATGACAAAGTGAATTGTTTCGTGCCTCAACGGCGTGCAGATGATTTCCGGCTGTGCTTCACGGAACAAAACTATTTAGACTGACAGCAGCACGCTAAGCTATTACAAGATCAAACCAGCAACTATATGTGGCCTTCCTCACTTTTCACACTCCACTGATGCGTGCCGCTAAGCTTTGGAGCTTTGCGAAAAAAAATGGAAGCGGGTGGAAATGCGATCATTTCTGCGCAAATTGAAAAATTCAGTAAATGTGGATACACGCACACATTCAAATAAAAGCGGCGATTGTTACACGCAAAACCTAGGAGGAAAAAGAAGAAGAGAAGTGTGAAATTGGAAAAGTGTCTGCCGCCGCTTGGTCAAGGTGCGTTTATGCGACTGCAACGGGAATGTTTGTGGGCGACGAAGCTTTCCAACCTTGCTATGAAACAAGTAGCAGCCAAACAAATGTGGTGCAGTATGTGTCTGTGGCATTGCGCATGTGGCGCCAGTTTGCCTGCATTCATTTCTTTTTTTCATCGTTCTTGGTTTTTGGAGTATTTCGAAATGCCACTGCAATATGTGGCACACATGAGCTCTGAGAGGGCGTCATTACTTTGCCGAATACGAGGTAAAAATATTGCACAGACACTTCATACTTCACTTGTATGGCAACTAACTGCAAGTACAATAACAGTAATCCAAATAACACCAAAAATACTCGAGAGTCCTTTGTGAGATTTGCATGATTTGCTTAAAAAGTCTCCCTACATGCAACACTGCGTTCACTCGAGCTGAAACACGACMTTCACAATGCAATTTTCGGCAAATTCAGTGCTAAAAGAGTGGAAGCGCACATTTGTAACTGTGCTTGAAGTACCAGAGAGGCGTAAATAATAAATGGCTACAAAACACTTAACCTTGACCGGGAGCATGAATGACGAGTGAGCACGTTCGCAACAGTGGTTGAAGATTCATTTTGCAGTGAATGTAAAATTTAATGCTATATATATTTCCAAAGCAKSAGTGGTAACGAATCRTGAGCATTTTAGATATTATATTAAGGTCCTTCGCGGACTTAAAAGAAGCTTAGGTTAAGTTAGATTGGGTTAGATGGCTGATCTAGAGAGATTACATGTGGACTGCTACATGTAGTCCTTTGTGAAACTATAAAAAAGGAGAGCTTCGGTGTTCGAACTTATAACACAGACACTTAATTTCCATTTCCGTTGACCACTCAAACGCGCTACATTCAAGAAGAAAGTTTTGACTTGTTTCCACCTTGTCTTCTTTCATATTATGGCATCTGGTATGATTTCCTTTCCTTTAAACATGGATGCCAATAATGCAAAGGCCTATTAAAACCCACATAACTAGGGAGTGGCTAGCTTTACTGAGGTCAAAGAGATCACTAGACATGCTCGCATTCTACTGATAGCAGTTCTAGGGTGATCTTTCTTCTGAGCTGTACTAGTCTTATCGCAAATGGACTCGATGCTATTAATAGGAATATTAGGCATTCCTTGACCAACCCTGCACTGTTAATGAGTTCAAGCCTAGTGTCGCCGCTCTGCTATCTGAATGGATTGTCATTTCTCTTAAGGAGTCTGCACTCTGGGGCAGTAGATCTACTGCTACCTTAATGGCTGCAACATCGGCCTGGGAGACGCTGCAATAGTCAGGAAGTCTGAAGCTAGAGTTGATAGAGAGCTCCTAAGCTCTAGTATAAGTATATGGGCAGAGAAGAACCCGCCAGTGTTCAGTGATCCGGTATGAAGTCAAAGTGTGTGAAAAGTCCAGGAAATCTTGAAAAAATTTAGATTTTCTTAAGGTGAGACATGTTTGAAACGTCAACAACATAAATTGGCTTTTTATGCGCCAAACACATCCTCATCATTTTCATCATTTACAAATACTTTCAAGGTATGATACAATACAATGGAATTTCAGAGAATAATTAAAATTGTTTTATGTAGTTTTCAGATTTCTATTTCTCATATAATCTCTTACAAACAAGTGCTCCTCACAGTGAGTTCAAAATATGAAATATTCGATGTACAGTGAGACCATCCTTAATTTCATTTATCAAACCCTAATGTGATTTCTTGAAATAGTTGAACCCGGTGAACTGTGTGCATATTTTCTTTGATATTAATTCCATTTAGAAAATCTCTTGCGAGAACCCGTTACGAATTAATACATATACTGTGGAAAACTCTACACAGGTTGGACATTTGGATCAGTTATTGCAGTGATCTATGATTTCAGATGCGAATAGTTTTCTTGAAAACCAGGTTTTCGTGAAATTAAAGGGTTTGTCTCCACGAACCGTTTTGTCGTAAAATTGAAGTGTTTGGCGGGAAGTCAAAACATATAACAATATAAGTCAAGTTTAATGTCGGAAAAAATAAGAAACAGTTCATAAATCTGAATCACATTTTAAAAATAACAAAGCGGCGAAAGCTGATGATTTTTCTTCAAAACTTTTCGGCAGTGACTGTGAATCCCAACAAACTTTATTATTAGATTTCATTAAGAAGCATTCGTGAAAAGTTTAGACTTTCCTTGTTCTTCCTAAAACTGTAAACCGTGTCAATCTGTCAACACATTTATACCATCTCGCCTCCTCTGTCACTTACTGACTTATTTAAGAAGCAATCAATTTATTATGCTATAACGAAAAATTCAGTGTTTGGCAGCAATTGTGGCATGTTTGTTGCAGCATGCAACTTTTAGGGGCGCATAGGGTAGCCATCATGGCGCTTGAGCGTTATCCAGCCAAATAAGGAGGGCCAGCAAAGAGCGGAGCGTTGCAAAGCGATGTGACCTCTATTCTGACGGCTAGTTGACACATACTTACATGGTGCCACAAGCGAACCGTGTCTGGGCGTATGTGTCTTTTGGCCGGCTGGCAGAATAGAGGCTGCGATTGCTTGGATATCTAGTCGATTGCTACATGTCAGGGTCGATGTGTGGCAATCGTCGCCACACGACACACGACATTTGAATTGAATTTGGAAATTTGCTTTGCAATTCGAAAATCGCAATTACATCTGTCGTTTGTGTTTCGCATTAAATGCGTCACAAACTGCTTTCATGTGCCATATGCCCATATGGCTGGCATATCTGTAGCCGCAACTGTGTCTAGTTCTGTTTTCAATCCGTTTTTGAGTTTTGTTGTTTTATTGGTGCACATAACATGCAAGTATTTTGTAGACAAAAAAGCCGATATAGTGTACCATTTTTGTTGTTTTCATGCTTCGTGTGCATTTTTTACTCGACCATTCCGGACATTCGGTCGCCAATAGAAAGCAAAATCATGCGCAACATTTGAAAATGGAAATATGCATTCGTGCGAGGAGTCAAAGCGAGGACAAACAGACAGACAGAGCAGGCGGAGGATATTGATAAAGCTGCCTGCTGGGATTAAAAACGAGCACGGTTTAACGGGTGGTCCATAAAGTTTACATATTTCCTTCATATTTTATTGAGATTTGTGTGATATCTCAGCAACGTCTAAAAACCAACACATTATAATTTAAAGACTGAAACCCGGTTGATGATGGTTAACAACTAAATATGAGTAGCAGTGACCGTTTGGTAAGGATTTTGGAAACATTTAAAAAAAAACCTATGAAAGCACTTTTTTGTTCTACAGCTGTAGCCAAAATTTGATCTTTAAAGATCTTCTGATTTAACAAAATGGCGACCCGTACCACAAAACTTTGGCAAAAACTATCGTTTTCACATTAAATTCGGTAGTTATTCGTTAAATGAAGTTGAACCACTATTTTTTTAATATTTTACAACCCTGAGTCAGCACCCAGTATTTATGTATATACTTTTCGAATTGTGCTATATTTCTTTGGTAAACAGCATGGCAAACGTAGTATAGCTTGTGGATCTAAAAGTTTGTAAATTTGTCGATGTCTTTTATCCTTTGAATATCCAAGCGGGCGTCAATCCAATGCGAAAGATATGAAGGTAGAGAGAAAAAGAGTAGAGAGCTTCCCAGGCATCCCAATACTGTTGAATATTTGTATCAATGCAATGTGCCGGAGATTGGGTTGTTCGTAGGTTCCTAATTTCGTTTTCTTTATCAACTTTATTGCTCTCGTTTGCGATTATTTGTGCATCCGTCAGTTGAAGTATTCATCGCTGCTTGCTACTTTCTTCGATTTTTATAGTTTGGCTTTGACAAAGTTTCGAGGACACCCCACTCACACTGAAAAAATCAACTAGAAAGTGGTCTGAGTCAGGGACAGTTGCGGAAGCGTACAGGTAGAACACATTTCTCTGAGGTTTTTATCCAAAAATAAAGTTTCTGGCGGCGCCATCTCAATC